GGTGTAAAGATAATCTTAAGATATTTATGCTTTGAATTAATTTTTTCTTAAAAAGTAAAAGGTAAGTAAATAACACTCAAAATATTTTTGATAAATTTAGACAATTGAAGAATTTTGAACAGTATAACATAAGTATAAAAATAAATATTTTCAGAGTAAGAAAATATATATCGCTGTTATATTAAAAGAAAAATAGTGACAAAATATTAACCCAATTTAAAAGTTAATAGAAAGTTACATTAGTAAATGTAAGTACTAAGTATTTTCTAATTTAATAAAGAATAAAATATGGAACAAATAATTTATTTGATTACGATATACTAATGTGTACCTTTTATATTTATATGAATTTTGTTATATTTCCGCACACTGTATTAAAAAATAAAATAGCAACTAAAATTTATCGAAACAATATGATATATCAGTTTATAGTTTCATAAGATTAACATTCTTTAAAATTATATGTGCATCGCGCGGGTTCTAACATTGTATCCATCTTAAAAGAACCAAAGGCACGTGTAAAGAAAGATATTTCTTCACTCTTTTTCCCTGCAAACTAGAAATGATCCCTATAAAGAGCATAAAGTAGAAAGCAAAATGAAGAAATAATTGCTAGAAAATAACTACTCTATGATATTTGTAAAATGATTCCTATAAAGAGCATAAAGTAGAAAGGAAAGTGAAAGAAGTTAATTGACGTTTTCTTACTGTTTGTGGATAAGCTATCAGTCTCTCAAAAGAAAATAAATGTAATTGATTCGTGGTCAACCATCGAATGTACCTTCAATCGAAAATGCAACATGGCCTTCATGAGTTGAACTTTCCAACTCGCAGTTCGGTCCATCATCACCAAGTATATCAATGATAGATAGCTCTGCAAAATTAGATGAGATGACAGTTTAGTATATGGGAATCATTTTTTCAGCTCTGGCATTTCAAACCAGAGAATTCTCTTAGGAAGTGCTTTTTGGAGTACGCCATTAAATGCAGTTGATAAACTTCTATCACGTATAGTCAAAAGGATACCTTGATTTAATATTTTGAATTTGTACTTTCAAGTTCCAACTGTATTAACAAATTGAAATTGAAAAGGAATGGTCTCCAATCAGAATGTTTTTACCCTATTGCTTAATATATTTTGACAAGCCATTTCAACAAGTTTTCTCTGTATAGGTTTATTACTACAAGCTTACAGGCAAACACTTCTATACAGTATTCATTTATAGTACTCACGCATGCCTGTAGAGCTCATCAGTGGATTCAGTTTGTCATCAGTGTTGTACAAAGCTTTCGCATGACATCCAGGTGCCCCAACTGATGTACTGAGCAACATCAATGATTAATTGAACTTTTTTCAACAAAAAAAATTATTTCCGAGACATTACAACCAAACATGTGAAATACTAAAAGAATGCAGTTCATGGAGATTCTAGGCATCCAAACAAGTTGCTAGCATCTAAGCCAGGCATGAACTCGAAGCTTCTCTATCTGCACTTGTTTAGCAACCTTTCATTCAAAATAATTTACTCAAACAAGATTCCTTAAGGAGTTCTTTTTTTTATATATTTATGCAATCTAACAAGGATAAACCTATGAGATCTTATGTTTATGCAATTCAATATGGATAATCCACTCAACGTAAGCATACTTACTTCTTTGGGCAGGCAGCATAATCTTTGGAGCTTGGTGAAGTTCCTATTAGGACAATGGATCACAATACGTCCGATTGACAAGAAAAAACAATTATACTCCTCCGCAAACTAGCTTTTGCCAGAATGCAAGTACAGTAGTACACTACCTTCCTTTTGTTGAAGAGAGCCAACAGAGATGACTTCGTTGGTTTGAATCACCGAAGAACGCTGTAGCATCTGATTGTGCGGAGTAAAGGCATTTCCCTCATAACTATGCCTTGCTTACATAGTGATACAAAAGAAAATTAGGCCACAAAAGGGGGATTATGAATCGCCGTGCAGTTGAAGGGAAGAGGTATGACTCATCACACAAGGAAAATAGACAAAATGCAATTTAACATGTTCACATTGCACAATCAAATTTTGTGTCAAACCCATATTGCAATCTCTAGTCGATAAAACATGTATATTAGGTTGTTTGAAACCACTGAAAGACTTAGAAATGGTAGTAAAAACACTCATGAAAGAAGAATTCTAACAGTACCTGATAGCAATTAATTGCTCAAAGACATTAAATGCTAGTGAAGATGCATACTTTTGCAACTAGTTCAGAAGTTTACTTTGAGTTTTGAAGAAAGTGAAAATGCACATCATTCATTTTGATTTTCACAAATTTTAGGGATTTTAACTCCAAAGGCTGAACAGATTGAGATACAAACTTCTTTGAGAAGTAAGATGTCTCACGTAATATCTCCGTATCATTCCAAGTTTATCGGATGCCCCAAAAGGGACAATCGCTTACATAATATCTCTGAGCTACCTCGTAAGAAGAAACATGAACAAGCATCAAATGCTATTGCCAATCACCCTAAAACACACATAAGGATTTATAATATGCTTAAAGTTTTTGGAGAGTTAAAAATTGAGGTCAATGTACCTGAGTGGACATTTGACTTATGTTCCCCAGAAGCTGTAGATAAGTTTAGTAAACTCCGAATATCCAGTGAATGACTACTCTTTTCTAGCTGATTACATCGGATTTTCTCCTCAAAGAAGCTCTCTCTTGCATCTTTTTTCTGCTGCTCTTGCCGTTTTCTTTGCTCAAAGTATTGTTGTTGCCTATAAGATAGACCAACTACATCTTAATCAAAATCCCTGTATATTGAGTTAGACTACATTCTCTAAGAATCTTTATCAGTGTTGATGTTGAGGAAAGCTAAAACTATTATCAGATCAAATAAAGACAGTTGTGTGATGTTTCAATACCTTTTCTGTGTTGACCTTCTTGACTAATGTTTTTCCATCCCGTGAAATCATAACACAAGTCAATAGAGAAAGCATCAGTATGAGAACATTTCCCAAAGCAATAAGATTAACTTACTGAGAATGACGGAAACAAATCAAACTTGCAAAAGAGCAAGCTGATACCCTTCAAGGAAAGATGAATATTACTTTTCTTATATCTTTTTCCTTTTTAATTTGGGGGGTGGTTTGAGTTGAACATTATCACGATAAATCTGCAAACTGGCTTGTACACCATTAAACTCACGTAAAGAAAGTGTAAGAGGTTTTCATTTTCGAAAGAAGAGTTCTGCCAGGACTAAATGGATTAACGATATTTTAATTCTTTTAAGAGTATGTTTGAGCTCCCAATCTTTAAAGGGTGATCTTCATCTTTCAATAATGCATTATATAACTCCTCATTTGACCTGTGCTAACCATACTTTTACGTTAAAATCAATTACCAACTCCAGAAACATGCACTACTAAAGAACAACTAACAAACCACACTAATTAGCATTGAGCTGCAGTTCTACCTAACTGCAATTTGCTCAATTGTGCTTCCAAAGTACCCCATGAAAGAAACAATTTATTTCCGGAAAAGAAAAAAGAAAGAAACAATTTATTTTCCAAATTCAGGAATATGCAGGTATGTCTACAGGATAATAAGTTATTTCCTTTGACACTTACAGTATAGACTTTCCTCCTTGACCCACCCATCCACTGTAACATTGTGGCAGAAATCTTCCTTGCAGCCTCCACCAAATCGTGAAGAGATAATTACACAAGGTCCAGAGGGGGAAAAAGGAACAGAAGGAAATAAAAAATAAGTATCACCTAAGTGAAATAATCTCTCGAGTAGGTCAAAATCATATGAGTTTTATAGGCTAGCAATAATAAGTTAAAATATACAATGGCTAATCTCTGCCTCCAAAATTTAACATGCTAGATGATTATAAAGTGGATAAAAATGTCATAAATATGCTTCTATTATTACTTACTTAATGATGAGTATCACTATAAGTTTTAATCAGAAACTCGAAAACAGATATAATCATCTTATCGAACCATACAGGAAAGCTAATACAATTACAAACTTTTGATGTACTCCTATAAAAAGATCACTCAATACCTAGCCAACGACACATGGAAACTAGATTGCCTCCACAAAATGCCATAGCATCAATCAAATCACACATAATCCAAGTTTTACCTTCCAATTACAAAAAAGGCATGCTCACCTACTGCAAACCAGCAACTGTTCTAAGAAACCCTTCAAATAGAAGATGCATATCGAATTTTGATGTCAAGTCCATAATTATCCCATTTGGAACAAATCGGGACAATTTGAAGTAACAGAGATGGACTTTAACAGTATTATTAACTCAATCCTAGATAATTCCAAGTGAAAAAAATAACAATAAACAAATTTCAAGTTCAAAGGAGTGATTACTCGGTTTACAAATTAATTGAGGATAGGCACTTAAATGACTAACAGAAAACGAAATCTGACATACTAATGCATTTATGAATCAAAATGAAGGGAAAATATGTGGTTGTTACCTCTCAACAGCGATTTCTGGGAGATATTTGCACAGATACGCAGATCAATACCTTGAGGACAAGGGCGGGGATAACGCAAATGGAACTCTTGCCTTAGGCCCCAAATATTTAACGCCCAAAAATATCAAGTACTACTACATCATTATATAATATATATATATATATATATGTTATAAATAGAATTGTATTTATGGTGAATGTCTATTTATTGCTTGATGGCTAAGTCACCCAAATCTATTCTATTGTAATTTATCCCAAATCAATAAGAATACTCTCCCTCTACTTTTCTCTGCAATACTCTTCTCTTTTTATTGTTCATAACACGTTATCAGCACGAGACTCTAACCAATTGAGTAGAAGCTTTGGGATTGAGCATAATGATTGTCAATTATTCCATGAACTTCTTTCATGGTTAAATTCTGGATTTAAGGTAAGTACTTTACCGTATTTTTCTCTTTTATTCTATACTTTGATTTTAAATACAAGCAAAGACAACAAAGTTTGATTATAACTCTAATGGAGTTTGTAAGAAATTATAACCACCTGAAGTGGTAAAATTTCTATGTCTTGCCATGATCAAAGTCATGTATGATCGTGAGCACAAGAAGTGAAAACCCGTCCCATTGAATTTGCTCCATTCTCATTCCCTTAAGAGAATGTGATAGCAATATGTGACAAGTCTGAAAGAAGACAAAATTATTACCGTGAAGGTATCAATGGATGTGGACGTGGCAATAGACGAAATTATAATCGTCATCATTGTGATAATGAGAATAATAAGGATTCTCAAAATAATCCTTCACTCTGTGAAAAATATTTGTCATCGATTTGACATGAGATTTTATAAACGCACATATAGAGATTATGGTCCATTCATGATATGAATGTGACAA